TACTTGGGAGGACTGGGTCCCGTAACTTCTTTAACTTATGAAACCAACCTATGCATGTGTGTAGTCATCTGCTCAGACTGTTGTGACAAAACACCACCGTGTGGTTTAAACAACGAACATTTCTTTGTTCACAATTCTGGCAAAGTCCACACTTGGTGTCTGATTAAGGCCCACTTCCCGGTTTATACAGAGTTGTCTTCTTGGGGTGTCCCCCCGCATGGCAGGAAGGGTGAGAGAGCTTTCTGGGGTTCCTCTCATAGGGACACTATTTCCATTCATGAGGGTTCCAACCTCATAACCTAATCGTTTCCCAGTCCCCTCCAAAGTGCCTCACCCCTCGCACCACGGCAAGGTTAGGACTTTAACAGGAATGGGGGTTGATGACCATTCAGTGCCCAACATCAGGATAAAATGGTACAGAAGGTCACACGGGAGCTGAGGGCAATGGCTCCTATTTGTAATCCTAGAGAGAGAAGCAGGAAGGACCATTCCAACTCATTTGAGGACTTCCAGACCAGCCAGGGCTATGTAGTGAGTCACTGTATTAAAACAGTTGAAGGCCAGCCTGAGCTACACAATGAGACCCTATTTCAAACCATGGGGGAGTTGGGGGGCGTGTAGCTCACTTGGCAGAATTCTCGACTAGTGTGCAGGAAGCCTGGGTTTAATCCCCAGCCCTGCACGAAACAAAGTGTGGTGTCGTCCACCTGTGACCCCTCCACTCAGGTGAAGGCAGGAAGATCAACACCATCCTGGGCTGCACAGCAAGTCAAGGACAGCCTGGGCTACAGGAGCCTCTTAAAAAAAAAAATCACAGGATAAAAAGTGAATCTCTCTTCCTACTTAACACTTCTAATTTCTCTCCCCAGAGGCAGCCACCATCAACAGCTTTTCCTGTGTCACCTTCTGGAAATTTCCCCTGCAAATAAAGACAGAAAAGCTATATGGGCTGTAGTTAAATACGCTATCTGGAGCTGGATATGTCCGTACAGGGCTTTGATGCCAGCACTGGGGAGACAGAAGTAGGCAGGTGGAGGACAGCCTAACCCCAAGGTCCAGGCCATCCAGGGCTGTTCAGTGAGACCGTGTTTCAACTGCTCCCTTAAAACAAAACAAAAACAAACAAACAAAAACTTCCTCCAGAGAGCCGGCGGTGGTGGCACAGGTCTTTAATCCCAGTACCCGGGAGGCAGAGCCAGGCGGATCTCTGTGAGTTCCAGGCCAGCCTGGTCTACAGAGGGAGTCCCAGTGCCTACCAAAACTACACAGAGAAACCCTGTCTCAAAAAACAAAAACAAAAACAAACAAACGAAAACTTCCTCCAGACTATCTGGATCAAATGTTGCTCCTGAGCCCTGCCTGCCTGCAGGTGGGCAAGTTACTATTTCCTTGACTTCAGCCTCATTTGTAAAACAGGATTAATAACATCAAGTTAATAACATCACTAATAACACCTCATAAGGTGGCTGTGATGGTTATAAGCAACTCAACCTGTGCAAAGTATTTAGAACACATCCCCTGGTCTACGGCTGTCCAATCTTACACACACACACACACACACACACACACACACACACCCCGAGTCTTTCCAATAGACAGTGGTCAAATGAGCATAATAGTTACCATGTGGGGGTTGGAGAGACTGCTCAGCAGGTCAGAACACAGGCTGCCCTTCCAGAGCATCCTGGTTCTGTTCCCAGCACCTACAGGGTGGCTCACAACCATCTGTAACTCCAGTTCCAGGGGAACTGATGCCCTCTTCTGGCCTCCCAAAATATTGCCTGCATGTGGTGCTCAGATACACACGCAGGCAAACCACTCAAACACATAAAAAAAAAAAAAAATCCGTGGTAAAAATTCCTAGTGGAGAAAGCTAAATGAAAGAGGATTGCACTTGGGACTTTACATTAATTTGGGGAGTGACTCATCCCCCAAAGCCAGCGACTGGGAAATGATGTCCACAGGGCAGTGAGAACTGGTTCCTCAGGCCCCTCCTGGCCAAGCAAACGGAGACTGTCTACACTGTCCCCGTACCAGGTTTTTTTTAAATTAATTAATTAATTTATTTATTTATTATTTATTTATTACAGGAAATTGGTTGATAGGCTTGAAGACAGGAAGCAGTGGTGCTGTAGAAACTGCCAAGCAGGTTCAAGTCTCTCAGCCACCATCCTCCATGGCTGCATCTAGACTGTAAAAGAGACTCCTGCCATGCCAAAAGCACCGGAGAATAACCCCGGGGCTGGGGATGTACCTTGGCAACACAGCACTTGCCTAGCACCCACAATGCATTCCCCAGCACCTCAAAAACAAAAGCACCCTAAAGCTGAGCCTCGGAGCGCACGCCTTTAATCCTAGCACTCAGGAGGCAGAGCCAGGTGGACCTCTGTGAGTTTGAGAATAACACGATCTACATAGTGCGTTCCTGGCCAGGCAGGGTCACACACTGAGACCCCGTCTCAAAGAAGAAGAGAGGAGAGTGAGCAAAGGCTCGGGAAGGCGCGCACATGCACACACACCTTTGCAGCTGCTGCCTCCTGCCGCCTCCATCTAACTGTGCAATTTTAATATTTATTTAGGGGGAGGCCCGTGTACGCATGTGGGGGTCAGAGGACAACTTTTCGGGAGTCCATCCCAGGACTTCCACTGTGTGAGTTCCCGAGATCCAACTCGGGTATTCAGGCTTGGCAGCAAGCTCCTTTTCCGCACTAAACCATCTCAACCGACCCCCCCTAGCCATCAGTTTGGCAACTACCCCAACCACTTCCCACGGAATTCTCCAAAGTTCGAGTCTGATTAGCGGGTTAGGTGAGTGGTTCCAGAACAGGCTTTTCAAACGCGTGGCTGGAGCTAACCTTCGGTTCTGTGGTTGATGATCCAAAGGGCCCGTTTGGGAGCGGGAAGCGTCAGACCCGAAGGGGAGGGACCCGAAGCTTCAGCCACCCCGATCCGATCCACGCACATCTGGCCATGTGACCTGGTTTCGGGCCGGTCTTTCCAGAACCTCTGTAATAATAGTCAGCGCCAGCCCCCCACGGATGGGTGCCGGCGGCGGGTGATGAATGGGCTCCGCGCACAGGTTTGGTTGGGCTCAGCGGGGATTAGGCTCCATCCCTGCGTGAGTCATGCCTGCAGTGCGAGCGTCCGCCTCCCTAAGCCTCAGCCCCCTCCACCGCCTGACGCTGGCCCACGGCTCCCGCCCCCGCGCGCTGGGGGGGGGACACCCGGGTGATTGCAAACAGCCGCCGGCCTCATTAGGAGACGTGTAATTAGCGGCTGGCGGATCCGAGAGAGGGGGCTAATTACCACCGGGAGAGGCTGCGCCGGCGGCGGCCCACCGGGGGCGTCTGGCCCGCACGCACGGTCCCGGCTGGCCCGGATCAGGGTGTGTTCTCTCGGTGTCAGCCCATTCATCACCGTTCACTAGTTCACCAGGCGCTCCCTGCGCCGGCCGGTGCCAGGGAACCCCACCTACACCTCTATCCTAGCAATTCCCAATAATCGGAACTGGAGGGCGGAGGCGGAGCTCTAGGGACTTAGTGTCCTCCCCGACAGCACCTGGCCAGCGGCCAGCGTATGAAGACTGGGGATCCGAACCCACGTCTATGGTTATGTTACACTAAGTGAGCACAGGAGTGGACCGGCGCGCACCAGAGCAGGGACTTTGGAAGCGAATGCTTCCCAGGTTGAATGCTGGGCCTGTTCCGCGTTAGGCAGGTGACCCTGGGCTGGGCCTGAACCGCATCTATGAAATGGGCGCAGGGTTAGGATTGAGAGACGATACCAGGAAGAGTCAGGGATGCTATTGTTAGGGAGGCAGAGGGTGGCGGCGAGGCTTGTTGCTCCGAGGCTGGGGTGAGCTCCGGCACACTGTGGGTCTCTGGCTCCCCCTACCGGCTAAGGAGGACGCTGGCGACGGGGGTTCTGAATCCTTGGTGGGAAGCTTGGGAATTGATCCCGCGTCTTGCAACCCGTCAGCTGTGAAAGAGCTCTTGCTTTAACGTTACCACACCCGCCCAGGCGAGGCCGTGAGGGATGTACGAATAACCCAGGTCGTGAAGAGGTGAGAGCGCTGGCTGACGATCTGACCACTTGAGTTTGATCCCCGGGAGGGATCCACGTGGTAGAAGGAGAAGCAACTCTCAAGACTCCCGCCGTAGCCGGGCGGTGGTGGCGCACGCCTTTAATCCCAGCACTCGGGAGGCAGAGGCGGGCGGATCTCTGTGAGTTCGAGGCCAGCCTGGGCTACAGAGCGAGATCCAGGACAGACAAGGCTACACAGAGGAACCCTGTCTCAAAGAACAACAACAAAAAGAACATGCGCTTTACGTACAAGATAAGCAAAGTGAACCAAGCATGGTGGTGTACCCCGGTAATCCCAGCCCTTTGAGGGGGGAAAGAAGCTTCAGGCTTTATGCCAACCTGAGGTAGAGCGAGACCCTGTTTTTCACACACACACACACACACACACACACACACACACACACAGATTCAAATGAATGATCTACCCCCTTCTCCCCCTTATTTTGGTTTCTCTGTGTAGCCTTGGCTGTCCTGGGCTCATAATCCCTATTTTTAACAGAAAACAAAGGGGCTCGGTGTGGTGGCACACGCTGATAATTCCAGCGCTTGGTAGGAAGAGGCAGGCGGATCACAAATTCGGGGTCATCCTTGGCTACACAGTCAGTCTGAGGTTAGCTTGGGAAAAACGAGACAAAGAAAGAAAAGAAGGAAGGGAAAGTACTATATTGTTTTGCAAATCAATTGACAAAAGCCTCCACAAAACTGTCCAGAGTCCCTAAAAGAATGAGCGTATTTGGCTGTATGGAAAAACCTCTGCTCTGATTCCTTTAAAGTCCCCAATTCCCGCGACATTCTCGGGCTTTAAGTGCAGGGCTGGCCTCAAACGTAGACCGTCCAACGTTGGGAGGAAATACAAGCTCACCCAGGGCTTCAGCGAGAACCCCCAGGTCCAGCCAAGGCGGACGCATGCGCTCTTACACCCTCCGCGGGCGGGAGGCGGAGCGTGGAGATTGACAGGGCACTCGGCCTGTCGGGCCCAGTCCCGCCTCCCTGCCGCATCTTCCGGCGCGGACGCCATGGTGCGGTTCAAGCACAGGTAAGCTGCGCCCTCCCCGCGCCCTGGCGGCGTGCCGGGCCCGCGCTCACCGCTGCGGTCCGCCGCAGGTACCTTCTGTGCGAGCTGGTGTCGGAGGACGCGCGCTGCCGCCTGAGCCTGGACGACCGCGTGCTGGGCGGCCTCGTCCGCGACACGATCGCCCGGGTGCACGGGACCTTCGGCGCCGCCGCCTGCTCCGTGGGCTTTGCAGGTACGGGGTGGGGGGCGCTGCGGCTCGGGCGCGGTTTGTGCGATATTGGAGGATGCTGGAAAAGCCGGTGAGCCCCTGAGCCACAGAGTGGGCCGAGTCCAAAACTGAGCAAACGCTGGCGATCGCGCAGCGGGAGAGCACTTTCCCAGCGTCACAAGGCAGAAAGTTCATAGCCAGGACCGTGTGTGTGGTGGTGGTGATGGTGGGTACGTTTACTGTCCGACGTATTAGTGGGGGATGGGTGTTGAAGTTACTAGGCTAAGTGAAGGTAGCCTTGGAGAACTGCTCGTGAGAGCTAGGATTTGACAGGTCGCGTCAGCACGTTTTAAAATGTCAAAGTTTAAAGCGCCTCTGATGGTAGAGTGCACAGGAATTCTCACATGGGGAGGCGGCCTTTTCTCCCTGTGCCACATTTTAGCGCTTTATACCGTAAGCTTAAACATGAATTCTGCAGAATTAAACCAACGTAAACAAAGCTTTCTTGCTTTGGGGAGACTACGTTAAGAGGGGCCTACAGAACCCGGTTTTAATGACACCTATTTTCCCGGCAAGGATTATTTTCTTGCTGCCTTAATGGTGGAGCTTCTCTCTCCATTTATTGACCTGAGTGGTCAGTGACTTGACACTGGTAGGTTTATTCCAAAATTTCCTTTCAAGCTGGGCACCGTAGCACTCGAGAGGCAGAGACAGGTTCCAAGCCAGCCAGGATGACACAGCGGGACTGTTTGAAAGGAATAACAAAACCTTTCAAGAATGTTTTTTAGGGGGACTGGTGGGGCTGGAGAGGGCTCAGCGGTTAAGGGCACTTGTGGCTCTTCCAGAGGACCAGGATTACATTCTCAGCACCACATGGCGACTACCTAACTGCAGTCCCAGAGGATGACACCCAGCACACACACACTCGGTGCATATACATACGTGCAGGCAGAACATCACAAAATTTAAAAATTAAACATTTACTCAGTGCTGCACCCTCCCATATGACACTTGTCTAGAACAGTCGCCGGCACATACTAGGGTTTTCCCTGTTTTTAATTCTGTGAGTGGGAAGTTTTCCATTTTCCCCTCCCTACTGTAGTCCGATACCTCAATGCCTACACTGGGGTAGTGCTACTTCGATGCCGGAAGGACTTCTACCAGCTCGTGTGGTCAGCTCTCCCTTTCATCACGTATCTGGAGAGCAAAGGACACCGTTACCCGTGTTTTTTCAACACACTGCACGTGGGAGGTAAGAGTGGTGGGAGCTTGTGTATGTACAGTGGCTGTTTTCATGGAGTAACTGGTTCAGAGCTCAGTCCTGGCAGGTGGGTGGTCTTCCTGCTGTCCCACAGAGAACAAGATGTTCCTCCCACCCCCCCTACCCGAAAGACAGTGACTGTTTCACAAGCTGTTGTCCACAGAAGCTCCCTCCTGTGCCAGGTACAATTAGAACCTGTCAGAAGTTCCTGATTCAGTACAACCGGAGACAGCTGTTGATCTTGTTGCAGAACTGCACTGATGAAGGTAAGCAGCAGCCGGCTGGTGCAAGCAGTGGCCAAGGCCCCATGGGCAGGCTGATGCCCGAGGACGTCTCTTTCCTCTAGGGGAACGGGAAGCCATTAAGAAGTCTGTCTCCAGAAGCTGTCTACTGGAGAAAGAGCCAGCTGAAGAATTTTCAGACAGTGTTGGTGAGGAGGCTATGGAAGCAGTAGAGTGACCCTGTTTCCAGGCCACTTGTGGGACCAGGAAATTGTGGGAGTTGGCAGCAGCACCCCACAGCTCTGCAAACGGACTACCAACCACAGCCAGGCGACCATCTTGAAATGGAGGGCTTGCTGCCTTTACCATCCAAGGTCCTGAAGGCTCTGTACAGCTCTTTTACATGTAACTGCTGAACTGAGTGGGTAGAATAAATATTCTTGGCTTCCAGAGCAACATTCCTAAACCATAAGAAGTACAAAATGAACTACATAGTTCATGCTTGGCCAGGTCTCTGTCCTCTATGACACTGGTCTTAAGTGTGCTCCCTGCGTGGTACTAGATGAATTTTAAACATTCCTAGACCCTGAAAAGAACTCATGCAAACCTTTACGTGGTGGTGCACTCCTTTAACCCCAGCACCAGGGAGGCAGAGGCAGGCAGATCTGAGTTTTGAGGCCACCCTGGCCTACAGAATGCGTCCTAGAACAGCCAGGACTGCACAGGGAAAGTGTTGGGGGTGGGGTAAACGCCTGTAAAGCAGAAATATCAATCAGTGACTAACCAACTACACTTGCATAATTTAGAGTCAGTTCAGTACTGTATCCTAGGGCTACAAACACCAGGATACCCACCTGACCGTTGCTCGGGGCACTTGATAAGGAATGCAGCTTTCAGCTGGCCCCAATGAGGCAGGAACGTAATCCTAGCACTCGGGAGGTTTGCTGGTTTGAATGAGAATGGCTCCCATATATTTACTTTGGTTCCCAGATGGTGGGACTATTTGGGAAGGATTGGGAGGTATGACCTTGGAGGAGCTATGCTATGGGGGTGTTTCAAAAGCTCACACCATTCCCAGTTAGCTCTCTGCCTCCTGCTAATGGATAAGATGTCTGTTGCCATGCTTCCCATAATGGTTGCGGTTATGGTGGTTTGAATAGGTATGGCCCCCATAAATTCACGTGTTTGAATGCTTGGCCCATAGGAGTGGCACTATTAGGAGTTGTGACCTTGTTGGAGGAAGTGTGTCACTGTTGGGGTGGGCTTTGAGGTCTCCTATGCTCAAACTATGCCCAGTGTAGCTCAACAGTTGCTTTTGTTGCCCAGGGATCAAGATGTAGAATTCTCAGCCCCTTCTCCAGCACCATGTCTGCCTGCATGCTGCCATGCTTCTTGCCATCAAGATAAATAATGGACCAAATCTCTGAAACTAAGCCAGTCCCAATTAAATGTTTTCCTTTATAAGAGCTGCCTTGGTCATGATGTCTCTTTACAGTAATAGAAACCCTAAGACACCCTTTATGCCTCTACTAAACCATTGTCACTTAAGAGAAGCTTAGGGTTAAGAGCTGGAATGATGGCTCAGAGGTTGAGAGCAGTGGTTTTCTTCCAGAGGACCTGGGTTCAATTCCCAACACATACATGTGCTCACAAACAAATGTAAGGTAACTCCAGTTTCAGGGGATCCAACACAGACATGCCTGCAGGCAAAATACCCATACATATTTTTGAAAGCCGTTAGGGGGTGTGACAGGGCCCAGAGCTTTCTTGGTGAAGGTTATAAAGCTTTTCTTAACAAGGGTCAACACAAAACCCTCCCTTACTATCTCAGTGCCGAGGATAAGTTACTCCAGGGCTAGCTGCCAGCTGAGGTCTGGCCATGGCAGCCACTTACCAGAAGGAAACCTTCCAATTCTTTTGGTTGGCTTTTTTCTACTGCAGCCATCCAGCCTGGAGGTCACAGTGGTTCCCTAAGCCTAGGTGTTAAACTGGATATCCTAACTCTGCTTACTCCTAGTCCGCTGGCTCTTTGACAAGGAGAATTTAACAGATAGGAAAGAGTCAACCATTTTAACCGACCACAGAATTGTACCTGCAAGTCAGGAAGCCCAAACAGGACCACACAGCAATGTTGTATCACTGGTTTGGCCTGCTCCAAAGGACACTGAAGAGACTACTCAGGCTAACTCTGGGTTGAGAAAATGAGTATCTGAATCACAGACTAACCCTGCAGATGAACTAAGCTTGGTAGGAAGGCGTCTCTTGTGACTGTCAATACTTTATTTTGGTGTAAAGACGGGAAGCTGGAAAATACACTGTATTTAAAATTTTCTTGGTTCCCCCTCACATTGTGGAAACCCCCTCCCCCCTGCCCCAAGCTAATCAATCTGTTCAAACTCAAATACTTAAAAGTTACAGCAGCAAAACAAAAGCAGAGGAAAGAAACCAGGTGGAGGAGGTGCCTGGGCGGGTAGTGTCACTTGGTGTGGACGACCGAGGTGCTGAACAGGAGCTTCTGCTTCTGCTTCTTCCGTTTCCTTCCTCCTCTGTCTTCTGCAGGAAACAGCCATCTTAGCGCACACCGCCACCCCATCCCTGTCTCCCTCACAGCTGAGTGACTGCAGGCTTTGCCATGTCGCCCCCACCCCATCCCTGCCTCATGAGCAGGGCTGTCGGGTGGGCACTGAGGTCACCGTCAACACCGCCCTCAGCCAACTCAAGTTTCTCAAGTGTGGGGGCTGGAGAGATGGCCCAGGGTCAAGAGCACTTGCTGTTTACAGGAAAGAGACCCAAGCCTCAACCACTGCTACCTGCCACCAGTCCTGGCAGGAACAGCGGCCTATGTGGCTAAGCCTGAGCCCAGTGCTGAGGGAGTTTCCCGCCCTTACCAGAGAGGGGGTCTGAAGTAGCTGGTGTGTCCAATTTCATGAAGGCCGCTTCAATAGCTTGGCTGAAGGAATTTTGGAAACTGGGCACAGGAACACGGTCAGAGTTATCACTTTCTCCATCGCTGTCCACAGGGGCAGGAGGAACCAAGCTGTTCTCATCTGAAAGAAAACCAAAATGTTACAGTTCTAGAGCTTTTTATTAAGAGGGGCTGGTCCACACACAGCTGCCCTCTCCTGCCCGGTTCTCACCTTTCTTTGGAGCAGTTCTGGGCCACACGTCTGCTTTTGCTTTCCCAACCCTCAGCATCTGCCAAGGGGACCGAAGGAAGAACATAAGCTTTGTTCTGACCAATGAGTGTCTTTTCCCAGCGTCGACCTCCACAAGCCCCTCTCTAGGGTCAACTAATGAGACAGCAGTGTGCCCCAAGGTACAGCCCCAGGGGACTTGACTCCTTAGGAAACAGGCGAAGAATACCGAGGATTCTAATACTAAGTACAAGAGGTTCTCACTCAGTCTTAAGCTAGGAATACTTTGATGTACTTTACGGTCCCTCTCGAGGCACCTGAGCTGGTATGGTGGTTTACACCTATAACCCCAGTATTTGGGTGGCTGAGGCAGGAGGATTACCTACAATTCAAAACCAGTCAGGACTATATGAGTTTAAGGCTAGTATGGAGCATAGAGATTCTATCTCAAAAAACAGAAAATAATTTAAAACAAAATTTACAGTAAGTAGCATATACAGTACCTTCCCTTTCTTTTGAGGCAGGGGATCCAGGTCTTCCTACATAGCCTATAGCCCTGGTTGTAAATCTGTCTGCCTGTACTGGGATTAAAGGCTTTTGCTATCACACCCAGTCTACCTTCTAACTTAAAGAACCCATGCTGATAACCCAGCCTCCTACTCTAACAGCCCAACAGTGCTTTTACCCTGTTACTTTCCAAACACCTCCTCCTCAATTATCACCGTTTAGATGTTCAGATGCGGCCATAGACCTGTCACAACAGTCCCTTAAGGAACTGTCTTCATTTCGTGCTAAGGCCAGCTCTCTCTAACTGTGGTCACTATATGCTCATCTGCCAAGTTGCCCTGCAGCTCCTACCAGTATTTGTTCCTTCTTGGTTTTATAGCCTGGGCTGGACTGGAACTTGTGCTGGGATTATAAGCATGGGCTTCTGCATGGAGAAACATAGATCTTTCTACCCCACCCAGATCCGGCACAGGATTCAAGCTAGCCTGCCTTATGCTAAAACTTGTGTCCCAAAGTGTGACAGGAACATTCAGGGTAAGTTGTGCTGTGCTGACAGGTGTTGGTTTCCCTGGGTGACCTTTCTGTACCTCAGGCTGGTCCTGACTTCCTGGTATGTCTTCCTAAGTGCTGGGATCTCAGGCATGCACTTAAACCCCTTCTTCTCCTCTAGAGTCCTGTAATTTCTAAGTCTGAACATTATGACATCTGATTCCACCTTTTTTAAAAATGGTGCCGGGGTTCAAACCCAGGGCTGGACTCTTTATTTTTGAAAGACAATTCAATGCATCAACCATATTTATTCTCCAAGGACTGACTATTCAGGTGTTTAATCTGAAACTAGCCATGAGGAAACAAGCAGACAAATCCAAAGACCAGGAATGGTGGTGCACACCTGCAATGCCAGTACTCAGGAGGCCAAGGCTTGACGATTCAAAGTTCAAAGCCAGCCTGAGCTACATGGCAAAACTATACAACTGGCCTGGAAGTTTCGAAACCATTCATTCAAGGGGAACATGAATTGTTGTGGCCCCAAAGAGGCTGAAGACTTAACAGCTAGCTATAAGGAATCTTTGAGAGCATCCTGAACTGAGAATGATCAAGGACAGTGGGACAAGTGGGGAGAGAGCAATACCCTGGGGTATTCAACACAGTAGCAACTGCATTTACTGGATGTGACGTTGGTGGTTCAGAGAAAATACTATGGTCCTCAACATGCCCTTTCTAGGTATGGAGTGAAATGTCATCATGATGTCTGCAACTCTACACAGAAAAAGAGAAAGCGTCCTGCCTCAGGATCACCCAGAGAGTGAGGGATAACCTGAGCTACACTGTGAGTTGCAGATTAGCCTGCACTCCTGTGTGAGAACTTTTTCAAACAAAACAAAAACCTACAACCATGGGAAGAGAGTGGGGAAAAGAAAAGCAAAAACAGTAAGAATTTGTGAACCCAGGTAAAATACAATGTTCACGATACTATTCTTTCAACTTTTCAAAAGTATAAGAGTGGGAGGAAGAGAAGTAATGTCAGTAAAACAGGTTCCAACAACTTAGCTGGCACACCAGTACACCCCTGAAACCTTGGCAAACGGGCTGAGGCGGGAGGACTCAAAGTTCAAGGTCACTCTTGCTACATAGCTAGTTTAAAGCAGACCATATAAGCGTATAATATGAAACATATGCCTATAATCCCAGTACCAAAGAGGCCATGATAGGAAAATACAAATTCAAGCCCCCAGTCTGGTCTGCCTCCCCACACCAACGTTGAATTCCCGTTTACGCCTCAGCACAAACTACCCATTATCAAGTAGACAGTCTCCATCTCTTTTCCTTTCAAAGTGTACTCATAACCATCCTCCTCTTTACCTTTGGTGCAGCAGAAAATGACCCAAGGCATTCACCATGAAATTTATTTTTTACTTACTTTCCAATTTACTTTCAACTTTGCAGTTTATCAGATGTAACCTCACTGTAAGCTGAGAAGCATCTAGACCAGTGGTTCTCAGCCTTCCTAATGCATCAACCCTTTAACAGTTCCTCATGCTGTGGTGACCCCCAACCATAACATTATTTCTGTTGCTACTTCATAACTAATTTTGCTGTTAGGAATTGTAATGTAAATATCTGACATGTGATCCCCAGGTTGAGAACTGCTGATCTAGACTAAAGAACTTCCTCTATAGGTACCTGTGAAGCTGTCCACCCATCTGTCAATTATCTGAGCACGGACACACCAAGTGTTTACCTGTTGTTGTCTCCTACCTGACCACCAAGGATGTGGCTGTGCCTAGTTACAGGGTAATCAGGATGACCTTGCCCTCTCAAGACGTAGAGGATCCATTCTACATTACAGAAATACTACCTACATCTAAGGTTCTAGAACCAGCTGAAATGAACTGATGCAGCCCCTCACCTAGGACACTATCCACTTTCTAAGAATCTAGTGATCTTAAGTAATTAAAACTTTGATTCTCAACAACTACTATGAGCTTTGCTCTTGACAAATTCCCCCACCATTGTGCCTCTGATGAGCAATCCACCTGGCTACCCTCTCCGCACATCTGCCCTCAGCTACTCCCTGCTGCCTAAGTTTCCACTAGGCTACAAGTTCTCATCCAGCAGGTGACTCTCTGTCCAGCTATTCTAGGTTGAGGGGCAACAGTCCCTGGATGAGGTTCCCGGACAAGCAGCAGAGCTCATGTGGGCTGCTTCACAAGCAAAGGATTTACCTGGGCAAAGGAAAGGAAGGGAGAATCTTCTTCCAGACTCCCAACGCAGAAGGAGGGACTGCCCTGACTCATGGTGGGTGACAAAGGAGTCAGCAGAAA